AAAAAAATAAAAACAAAATTCTCCCTATCAAATTTACATGGACCATTCATGCTGAAAATTGGAATAAAATATTCGTAAAATCTAAAAAACTTACTCACTCTAGAGTTCTCCAAGGTAAAATTGTTGAGTTTTGTTGAAGTATTTGAGCCAACAAAAATGAGAATTGATAACTTTCCGTAGGCATTGAAGCGAAAAAGGCCTTCTTGTGAATTTTGGGTGGTTTGTTTTGTAGGGATGCCACCTGCATGCAATAGCACAGAATGCAGGGGCTGTGACAGCACAAGGTAGAAGCAGCATCTTACAAGACACGGGCTTCTCATTTGTGAACTGTAAGGTCACGGGCTCAGGAGCTCTCTACCTTGGAAGGGCATGGGGTCCTTTCTCTAGGGTAGTCTTTGCTTACACCTACATGGACAACATTATCCTTCCCAAGGGATGGGACAATTGGGGCGACCCTAACCGTGAAATGTATGTTTCCTCTCTCTCCGTTTACCCTTCTCCAATTTGCTTGACTTGTAGGTCTATAATCATGTAACAAACGGATAAATTCAGATGCTAAAATCACACATAAATTATGATTTTTAAAAAAAAATTATATATAATTAATCTATATAGATTAATCCACACCTAAGTAATTAGTTACTTAAACTAATTAATTTGGAATGATCTAATGGACAATAATGGCTTGAAAATAAAGTTACCAAGCTATAAATCTTAGCTTCAAATCTTGCAATATTACGTGGGATGAGATTTGAGAACAAAAATGATATACTTAGTTTACAATCTTAATATGTCAATATGAATGACTCTCTTTATTCAGATATTTGTTTATAATATTATATATATTTATTTATTTATTAATATGTTAGAATTATAAATTTACAATCTTATATCATATTGTAGCTATATCATTGCCTATTTGAGAAAGAAGAGGTCTAACAAAGGAGGGAAAAAAGTTTAGGATATGTTCCCTAAAGGCTAAAGATATAGCGAGGCATTTAATTATCCCCATGCCAAGGTCATACCGTAGAACATGCCAATCCTAAGGGTTAGATTTGCTGGCAATGTTGTTTTATAAAACAAATCCAAGTCTTGCTATTAGAATCTAACAAAATTTAATTTTTCACCAACACCTTAAAAACATTATCATTAGCTTCTTACTTGTCATCAACTAAATTTGCAAATGACAAGAATTCCACCAAGTTTTTCATCACGTAATCATGCAAAATTAGGAGAGGGCTTGATTATCTACGCACAATGACAAATTAATTTTGGGCGGTTAGGGTTACCATTTTATAACCCAATTAGCTACATATCACAAGTGGGTTGCCCTGTCCCTCACTTTCTCACTGCAAAGTCTACGTGTGATACACCTCAAAAAGAAAAAGCATGTTAGTGCCTGCACAAAAAGCCACCTAATCTAATGCTTAGTCAGGTCGGCTCAATGCAGAACAAATTAGTACTCTATTTGTTTGTGGTTTTGTAATTGTATTGATGTGGTTTGGCCCTTTTTGTTTTGGCAGGACTGTGTTCTATGGGCAGTACAAGTGCACAGGACCAGGAGCAACCTTTGCTGGGAGGGTGTCCTGGTCAAGAGAACTTACAGATGAGGAAGCCAAGCCTTTTATTGATCTTAGCTTCATTGATGGCTCTGAATGGATCAGATTATAGAAATAGATTTTTTTAAAAATCTTAGAAAGAATTCTTTGTAAAAGTTATCTTGATTTTGTTTTTGATTTATCCTATTTAAGTCCTATATGCATGGAATGGAAATGAAACCCTTGTGATTACAGATGATGAATAAGGATATATATATATATATATATAT